CAGAAAAGAGTAGCCGCCCACCTGCTGGGCCCCAATTGAATCCAATGGTCTGCTTCACCATGTTCTCCTCCTTGCGCCGGTTGCCTGCAGGCGGCGGGGCGGGGCAGACAGCGAGGCGGGCCAAAGTGTGCAGGTGGCAAGAAGGGAGCAAGAAGGGAGCGGCAACAGGTGGGGCGGGCGTGCGCTGGCCGACATATAGCAGCAGCCGAGGCACCCGTGAGAAAGCGGCATGTGTGTGTGTGTGTGTGTGTGTCGGGGCTCACCAGCGCAGGTGAGGGTGCAGGTGACGTCCACAGAGGGCATGGCCAGCAGGTCGGCCATGGTGAAGGTGGTGGGGGGTGTCCACCAGGCCTGAAGAAAGCACGGGAAGAAAGACAAGGTCGAGGCGCGGGGCGGGACGGCGAGCGCGCCGTCAGTGCGCCTGAGGGGCTCTCGCAGCACCCCCTCAGCATGCCGTGCGTGCCGCACAAACGGGCGTGCAAAACAGGCGGTGCCAGCCCCTGCCTGCTCACCGTTGACCGCCAGGCGATGGTCCTCCCACCGGATCTGCGGCACGGCGCCGTGGTTGCGCACGTAGTGCAAAGAGGGAGGGGTGATGTACGACTCGAAGAGGCGGGCGGGCTTGGGCTCCACGTTGAATGGGTGGCGCCCAGTCAGCCGGATGAGGTCGGGGTGCCTGCATGACCAGCGCAGCGCAGCGCAGCGCAGCACGTGGCGACGGCGTCAAGCGGTGTGCAGGCCGGCGGCGGCAAGCGTGGAGCGGTCGCAGAGACGCAGAGTAGGCTGGGCGGCCGGCCGGACGCCGAGGTGGCGGGGCGCTGCCCAGCGCCCAGCGCAGCAGCTAGGGCGAGGGAGGGGGGTGCGAGGACGGCTGCCGCCGCCTCCGAGCTGCCTGCTGCTGCAGCAGCAGGCGCACCGTGGCACCCAGTCATCCTTTGTGCCCTTGTCGAAGTCCAGCACCTCGGACACTGGCAGGTGGAGCTTGTAATCCTCGGTGCCGGGCTCCAGCGGGGGCTGCTGGGGCGGCGGGCCGCAGGCGGGGGCTGCGGGCAGGGCTGGTGCCGGCGCCCCATTCCCTGCTGCAGCCGGGCAGTGTCCATTCGCTTTGATGACCGTCGCTGCCGAGCTGCTGCCGTGGGCAGAGTCGTCGGCGTTGAGGAGGACGGTCATGGCTTCCTTTTCTGCAAGTGCCCCTGACTGGGCGGGGGATGGCGGGCTATGCATGGCATTGGCGGAGCCACGTTTTTGTGGCCGGGTGCCCCGGTGGGGCAGAGCGGCCAGAGGGGTCGCCTCAACTTTTTCGTCGAGAGGTCCTCTGCCGGCCACCTCACCGCATGCTCAGAGCCCCACTCAACAGGGGGTCACCGTGCATCCAGCCCCCTGCATCGCAGCCTCGATGCCTGGAATCGCCAATTGTCCTCGTTTGCACGCCTGAGCCGCTGGCAGCCCGGCCCGAGCATTCCGCCCTCTCCGGCCGCTGTCCCCCAGCCACCAACAGGTGCGTCCAGTTGTGCCTGGCAAGGCTTCTGGGTGCCTGACAAGCTCTGTAAGGCGCCCAGGAAGCCTGGGAGGGTGGCGTTGTGCTCGTTGCAATTCGGGTGGCTGAGCGGGAGAGGCCCTTGCACAGCCACTGCTTGTTGCTGTTTCCATCTTCTGTCATTATGCATATGGATGTGGAACCCTTGCGGAGCAGGCAGCGACCTCGCTTCGCCCAACCGCGCTCACCCTCGTTCACCCTCCGCCGCCACCCGCACTTGCCGCCGCCCACAGGTTGCGCCCATCTGCCAGCCCCTACCAAGCCATGCGTGCCGTCGTCGCACCCACGCAAACCCCGGGCTGCGCCGGGCGCCTGCACAGGCGCGCTGATGCGGTTGGGGCTGTGCCATCACGCCGCCGCACGGCGGTGGTGCTGCGGGCTGTGGAGGCGCCAGGCGTGGAGGTGCCGCCCCTGAGCGAGGAGGTGGCTGCCAGGATTGAGGAGCTGGGCCTGGACTTTGAGCGCAGCGGCCTCAAGTACCTTCCCAACGAAGCAAGGGTGCGTGCCGCTTCGCATCGGCCGAGCAGCTGCATACTGGCGTGCGGCTTGCGAGCCGCACGACCCATCTCTGTCGTGCAGGCAGCCCTCCTCCTCGTCTCTCTCCACGCTGCACACCTCCCTCCCACTCCCCTCCATTCCCCTCTTCCACCTCTTCCTTGCAGATGCGCGCCATGGACCGCAAGTCGGTCAAGTTTGAGAAGACCAAGAACGAGAAGTGCGGCAGCCACATGTGGGAGGACGTGAGCGAGCTGGCCCAGCTGATCCGGTGAGCATCACCGGCCCCTCTTCTTCATGAAGGGACAGCCTGCCCGCTGCCTGCCTGCCTGCCTGCCTGCTGCCTGCCTGCCTGCTCCCACCGGCAGCCACCGCGCTGCGGCCGTGCCTTTCGCTTGGAAAGCAGCGGACCCCCACCCACGCACCATCAGCCCCGGTCGTGCGCTTGCCGCCCACCCACGCCTGCGCGCTCCCCCTGCCTCGTCCTCCTGCAGGGAGGGCAAGACCAGCTGGCAGGACCTGAACCTGGACGACGTGGATGTGCGGCTCAAGTGGGCGGGCCTCTTCCACCGCCGCAAGCGCACGCCCGGCCGCTTCATGATGCGCCTCAAGGCGAGAGGGGGCCCACGTGCCTGTTGACTCCCTGGCTGCCAGCCTGCCTGCCTGCCTGGGTGCATGGCTGGGTGGATGCATGAATGGCGAGGGTGGCAAGGGCAGCAGGCGACGGAGAGGAGGGGAATGAAGAAGCTTCGGTGTTGGGGGGCTGCGCAGCGGGCTGCAGCTCCGGCCGGGCCCTCTCATGGCTCACCGCTTGGACAGATGACCCAGCGCCGCTCATGCCAGCACCCTGACCCCTCTCCTGCCACCCCGCCTGCCTGCCCGCTGCAGGTGCCCAACGGCGAGCTGACCGCCGCCCAGCTGCGCTACCTGGCCTCCTGCATCGAGCGGTACGGCGCCGACGGCTGCGCAGACATCACCACCCGCGCCAACATCCAGGTGGGCTGGCTGGCTGGCTGGCTGGCCAGGGTAGGGGTGGGAGGCATAGCAGCTGCTCGGCTTGCATGGCGCGAGGGCGCAGCGCTTGCCAGCACGCTGCTGCTGCGGGTGCCGCTCCCGCCGGCGGAGCTCCGGCCCCGCTGACCACAGGTCATGCCACACACGCGCACACACACACACACACACACACACACACACACACTTCTTGCAAACGTGCGCTTGCCACCGCCACCGCCGCTGCCCCTGCAGCTGCGGGGCGTGACGCTGGAGGATGCCGACGGAATCATCGCCGGCCTGCAGGAGCACGGCCTCACCTCCTTCATGGTGGGTGCCGGGCGGGGGCCGCTGCTGGGCCCGCTGGGGTCCATGCGTGTGCTTGTGTGGTTCCCTGGGGGCCGGCCGGCCCAGAGGCCTGTCCTCCCCACTCGCTGCTCCGCCCTGCCGCCTTCCTGCCTATCCTCACCCAATGCCCGCTCGCCCCGCTCCCCACGCAGAGCGGCATGGATAATGTGCGCAACATCACGGGCAGCCCCATCGCCGGCATCGACCCTCACGAGCTGGTGGACCCGCGCCCGCTGACGCACGGTGCGCTGCGCGCGCTGCGCACGCTGCGCCACGTCATCACGCCGCGCCGCAGCCCGGCTGCCCGCCCCAGCGCCCCGCCCCTCCTGCCGAGGCCCGCCCTCTGGCAGGGCAGTGGGGGTCATGCTGTGCCACGATGCGCTGATGCGGCGCCATGTGCCGGGGGCATGAGGCATGTGCCGAGGATCGTGCCGGGCTGGGCCGCGCTTCCTGCTGTGCTGTGGCTGTGTGGGGGCGTGCCCCACAGAGCTGCCCTGCAATTACATACACACACACACACACACAAACACACAATCCCATCCTCCTGCAGAGCTCAACGCCGCCATCACGAACAATGGCAAAGGCAACGCCGCGCTCACCAACCTGCCGCGCAAGATCAACATCGGCATCTCCTCCTCGCGCGACGACTACGCCCACTGCCACATCAACGACGTGGGACTCAAGGTGGACTTGGCGCTGGGGTGGCAGGGAGGCGTGCGTGTGGGTGTGTGGCGTGGCGGGGTCAGGGGAGGGCCTCGTGCCTGCGGGCCTCCTCCTGCGGCCAGCCGTGCAAATGGGGCGCTGGCGTCCACCCGCCAGCCCACACGTGCACGCCCCTCAACACTTGCCGCGCCCCTACATCTGCCACGCCCCCGCGCCCCGTGCGCCCAACTCCTGCCACCCCAGGCGGTGAAAGACCCGGCCACCGGCGAGGTGGGCTTCAACGTGGAGCTGGGCGGCTACTTCTCCATCAAGCGTAACGTGGTCAGCATCAGGTGCGGAGGGTGGCGATGGCGGGCGGGGGCGACCATGGATGTGGGTGGTGTTGGGCGTGGATGTGGTTGGTGTTCATGTCATGTCGTGTTGTTGTTGTGTGTGTGTGCCCGCCCGCCGCGACGCTCCCTGCTGCCCACCTGGCCTGCCAACCGCCGCCTGCCTCCCCGCCTCCCCGCCGGCCCGCAGCGGCGACACCTTCCTGTCGTACGACCAGGTGGTCCCTTACTGCATGGCCCTGCTGGAGGTGTTCAGGTGGGGGCTCGGGCCGTGGGGCCACCAAGAGTGTCTGTGCAGCAGCCAGGCGCTCCCAGCAGGGCACAGGGCCCAGGGCGCCGAGGCTGGCTGGGCGCACATCTCCTGGGCCGCCCCTGCCCCCTCCCGCCTCGCCAGGCCCCTCACCGCGCCTGCGCCCCGCCCCGCGGCTCCTCGCCTGGCTCGCAGGGACCACGGCGCGCGGGACGACCGCCAGAAGGCGCGGCTGATGTGGCTGGTGGAGGCGATGGGCGTGGATGCGTTCCGGGGCGCCATCGAGCAGCGCATGGGCCAGAGCCTGCGCCGCGAGGTGCGTCAGACGCATCTAAGGCGCCGGAGGGGTGTGGCTGAGGCACCCCTTTCGCAGTGCCGGCCATCCTGCATCCTCTTGCCAGCACCCCCTGCCTCTCCCGCTCACCGCCTCTGCCGCTGGCCCTCTGGTGATGGTGCCTTGCCCCTGCCTGCAGGTGCATGTGGCGTATGACGACGTGTGGGAGCGGCGGGACGTGCTGGGCATCCACGCCCAGAAGCAGGAGGGCCTGTTCTGGGCAGGCGCCTGCGTGCCGGCGGGGCGCCTGCACGCCGCGGACTTTGCGGCGCTGGCGGACGCAGCAGAGAAGTGAGCGGGGCGAGAGGGCGAGTCTGAGCTGCTGCGCTCGGAAGCACGCCGGCTGGGTGTACCAAACCCACGCCCTCGCTCCTCCCTCGCGCCCTCGCCCTCCAGCCGCCCCTCCGCTGCCGGCCCCACCCCGCTAAACTTCCCCTCCCACGCCCCGCCCCGCCTCCCCCGCGCAGGTACGGCGACGGCAGCGTGCGGCTGACTGTTGAAGAGAATGTGGTGCTGCCCAACGTGCCAGAGGCGAAGCTGGCGGCGCTGCAGGCGGACCCCCTGTTCCAGCGCTTCCCCATCCACGGAGGTGCGCGGGGCAGGGGCGGCAGCGGGGCCGGCAGCTGGCAGCTGTTGGGGAGTGGCAGGGCAGAGCTGGCTGGTGGTGGCCGAGGCGTCGCTGGCTGGGAGGGACGGGGTTTGGGGCGGGACGGCCAGGCTGCGTTGTCTGCCGCGCCACACACGCCGCGCCGTCGCGCGCCGCACCGCCTCCACCCCCGCAGGCAACCTGCTGCGGGGCCTGGTGTCGTGCACGGGCGCCCAGTTCTGCCCGCTGGCGCTGATTGAGACCAAGGGGCGGGCGCTGGAGGTGGTGCGGGAGCTGGAGGCGCAGCTGGATGTGCCCGCCATGGTCCGCATGCACTGGACCGGCTGCCCCAACTCGTGCGGCCAGGTGGGCAGCCGGCGCTGGTTTTGCAGCAGAGCAACTTGCAGCGCACGGCTCCCTTACTCTTGGCGCCGCTGTGCCAAGCGCGTGCGCACCGAGCATCGGCGTCAGCGCTGCCCCGCGCGTGCGCCCGGTTGACGTGCCGTGCCGCCTTGCGTGCTGGGGTGCAGGCTCAGGTGGGCGACATTGGGATCATGGGGGCCCCCGCCAAGCTGGACGGCAAGGCTGTCGAGGGGGTGAAGATCTTCCTGGGTGGAAAGATCGGGGAGAACCCAGAGGCAAGCATGCGCTGCGCTGCGCTGCCTGCAGCTGCACTGGGCGCCCGCCGTGCAGGGCTGCCCTGACACTTCCCTCGCCGGCGCTGCGCCAGCGCCTTGCTGCTTGCTGCTGCCGCCGGGCCTGGCTCACCCACTCACCGTTTTGCCCTGTCTGCCTTGCTGCTCCTCCCGCTTTCCTCCCTGCAGCTGGCCAAGCAGTTTGAGACGGGCATCCCCATGGAGCAGCTGCTGCCCCGCCTGAGGGAGCTGCTCATCTCGGAGTTTGGGGCCACCCCCAAGCAGCCCACGGCGGCGCAGCAGCAGGCGCCGGAGCCCGCCGGCGCGGCCGCATGAGCCGACGCACGAGATGGCTGGGGCGATCTGCCTTGCTTGTACATTATGCCGGATGCCTGCCACATGCCTGCCGGCACCACTGTCCGTAGCGCTACGCCTAGCTGCACTGAATGTTTGATTCCCGCCCGTATCCCCTTACTCCCCACATCCGGCAGCCCAGCTGGCAGCCGCGTAGCATGCGCCCCCACGTAGCTATCATCACATCTCTGTTTCGATTCCAATCAAGAATGGCCCCCTTGTGTAACTCCAGCGTGTCGTGCAGGAAGGTTTCCAGGGGCGAGGCGCCTATGCAGGCATGATTGGATCAGCCAGCACGTCAGGTTAGGCAATGGGCGCACTTGTTGGATGGCCATCGCGCCGCAGAGCAGCTTGATGGTGATGATGCGAAGCTGAGCCGGGAGGGAACGGGGCAGGAGCGGCGGCGGTGGGGCGCCGTGCAGCAACCAGCCCATGCCAGCGTGCCACGTGTGCCGCCGAACGGTTTTCAGGGGCATCAGGGCGCTCCTGCCGTGTCTACTCGCAGACAGTCTCACAGCGCGTGATGCTGAGCAGAACGGCCCCGGTGGCATACTCAGTTGGGAGGGGCTGAGCTGCGGCCGGCCGGTACCACCGCAGGAGCGGGCCTCCCTGGAGCCAGACAGCCGCTGCAAACAGGAAGGGAGTATATCACGCATGCCATCTGGCAGGGGTGATAGCAAATCTGACAGAAGGCGAGCTCAGGGGGCACTCATCAGGTCGCCAAAACGCCGGTCGGTCTCGGCGCCGAGCACCCGCCCGCCGTGGCAGTGCTCTCTGCACCGCCGCGCATTGTGCTGCACAACGATCGCCTCAGTCGCGCATGCTTCCTAGCGCACCAGCTGCAGCTATTGCATGCAAGCGGCATCCACGGTCCCAGCAACTTGCCAAAACACAGCCCTGGGTTGTTTCGGGCCACACTCACTCTGCCTTCTCTTTCATTGCGCGCTCGGATCTCCCACCACTTTCACAACGCAGCGGGTCTGCTTGTGTGCTGGAGCGTCTCGAGTGGCATGATGGTGGAGCCCGCAGGCTTCCAGGCCCTGCCGTTGGCCCAGGAGGCTCCGCATCGGTGCTGCAGTGGGCCATCGACCTCCAGCGGCGGCAGCAGGTGCGCAAGAGCAGGATGCAGAACCCTCCCCTGGGCTATCCCCCTACGCCACGGCTTGCAGCCCAAACCCTGGCGCCATGGCCGAGCCAGGCGCCGATGCCGCACGGCATGCACCCTCCTGTTGCAGCGGGAGCCGGTTCAGCGAGGCTTGCGTGGTGGAGCAGCCAACCCGCTGGCCGGGGCTCCAATGGGGCCCGGCAGCCGCCCTGCACGCGCAGGGTGATCAGAGGTGAGGTTAGAAGCCTGGTACGCCGCCCCGGGCGGTTACTGGCCGCGCTTGCTGCGCCGCTCCGTTGCCGCTCGCGTTCCTTCTCCTGCTGCCCTTCCTTCTGCCCACACTCGCGCCCACCCTTCTTCCTTGATCGCGCCCTTCCTACTTCTTCCGCACTTGCACCCATCCTCCCTTTCCTCCGCACTGCACTAACACCGCAACCACACACGCAAGGGGTGCCAGGCATTCTGCCGGCTGAGATCATACCCTCAACACCCGGATCGCCTAGTAGCGCGGCGGGGATGCGTCTTTCGGGCCCCTGCGCCCCTGCCTCTTGCCTCTGCACAGGACCCGCCTCCGCCTCTCGCCGCCGGCAGAGCACCAGCAGTTGTGGCCCGGCCAGGCCAGCGGCGCCAGCAGCACAGCCCTTGTGGCCTGCCCGCGGCTCTCTGCCAGCCGCGGCCGCCGCCTCGGCGCAGCCCCTTCCCTCCCCCCGCGGGCAGCAGCGGCAGTACGCGGCGTGCGGCGGTACAGCGCCTGGCCGGCCACACTCTGGATGGAGAGCCTTCCTGCTTGCACGCTTGGCGACGCCACAAAGGGTACCACCCTGCCCGGCCTGGTCACACAGGCACCCAACCACCCTGCACAACCATGCCCCGCTGGCATCCGCGCCTGCCAGCCCGTGCTGTGCCTTGTGTGGTGATCGCTGTGCCGTGCATGCATCGCTTCGCCGTGCAGCGGGACGGATACGGCGGCGGCAGCGGGGTGGCAGCAGGGGTGGCAAGGGACGGCAGCGGCAGCAGCAGCAGGGGGCCAGCCCTGGCAGCTGAATGCCCCCTGTGCAGGCCGCGCGCCGGCGCATGCAAGCAACGCGGGGATGGCAGCAGGTGGGGGGCTGGGCTGCGGCCCCAGCGCTGCGCGCCGCTGCCTCGCTTGCCGGCCTGCCTGGCCTGCCCCTGGCCCTGTTCTCCTGTTCTCCGCGCGTCAGCTGCTTCTGTGGCTGTTCTGTCGCAGAAAGGATGCGGCTGTCAGGCCGGTCACCTTAGCGCGCAGCTGCTAACCGCCGGCCGTTCCCTGGCACGCCTGCCCTGCGCCCGCCCCCGCCCGCGCCCTGGCCACGCCGCTCGCTGCAGGTTGGCAGCACCGCAGCGGCGGCGTTGGCGGGAGCAGCAGCGCCGGCGCGCCTCTGCAGCCGACCTTCCAGCAGGCAGCGGCGGAGCCTGTGGCGGGGCCAGCGACGCTGGCAGCGACGCAGGCGGCGGCGGCGGCGGCTCCCGTGGACCCCTGGCAGAGTGGGCTGGACCTGCTACTGGGGAACTCGGCTGCTGACGAGGCACTGCCGCTGCACCTGACGGATGCGGGCCTGGAGGCTCTGCTCGCCCCTTTCCAGGACTGGCCCTGCCTGCTGCCGCCCGCGGCGCAGGCGCCGGCCGCGGCGCACGCCGTGGCAGCACCCCAGCCCCTGCCCAGCCTACACCCCGCGCAGGGCACGGCGGCCCCGCCGGCCGCACCCGCCTTCCAGCGCGCGGCAAGTTGTGCAGCCCCTGTGCCGCCCAGCGACGCGCACCGCACCAGCAGCCTGGGCAGCGGCAGCAGCGGCGCCGCGGCCAGCGGCGGCAGCGATGGCGGCAGCGACGGCGGCGGCGGCGGCGCGCCGCGCCGCAAGGGCGGCCGCCCGCGCCTGCACCACCCGACCGCGGCGACGGCGGCGGCGGGCGCCAGCCAGGCGCCTGCTCAGCAGCCCTACAAGAAGGGAGGGCGCGGGCCCAAGCCCAAGTACCTCTTCGGGTCCCGAGAGGAGGCGGCAGATGCGCGGCGGGAGCGCAACCGCAAGGCCGCGCTCGACTCTTACTACAGGCAAGCCATGGGCAGGGGTTAGGTCTGGGGCAGGGCGTTACCCTTGGTTCGCCCAACCCGCTGCCTGCCTGCCTGGGCTCCCGGGCAGAGGAGGCAGCCAAATGCTGACAATGCTGCCCGCCAGCCAGCCCCAGCCAAGATGGCGCCTCACGGAACGCTTGCTGAGCGCCCGCTTCCCTCCCCTCGCCTGCCTGCCTGCCTGTCTGCAGGAAGAAGGAGCACACGCAACGGCTGCAGGGCGAGCTGGCGGCGCTGCGGGCCGAGAACAGTGCCCTGGAGCGGCTGCTGGCAGACATGAATGCCACGGGTGCGCCCCGCTCAGGCTGTGCACATGTGTGCGGCAGCCCATGGGCTGCGGACGACAGGCCTGCTGCTTGGCACCCCTCGCCCACCGTCGCGGCCACCCCTCGCCTGCTGCTCCATGCAGGCCTGTGCCCCCTGCCAGAGGCGAGCAACGACGGCATCGACCTCTGGCTGCAGGCCAACAGCGCTGCGGGCGGCGGGCGCTGAACCTGACCCGCCACGCCCTCCCACGCCCGCCTGGCTCGACGACAGCAGCCGGCAGCCGGCAGCCGACAGGGCTGGCAGCGAGCGATTGCCGCAGCCTTTGAGTGAAATGCAACGAATGTCCCCGGGTCCTTTCCCTGTTCCGTTCATACTGTGCTGCAGATTCGCAGCGCCCCTTCACACCCCCTCTACCCTGCACCTACTCCCCTTTGCGCCATGCGCTGCGCTGTGTTTAGCAGCATATGTTGTCTGCCCGCTCTCTCGTGCTGCATGGCACACTGGCGACCCATCCAGATGCCAACCTCACCGGCCCCCTCTGCACACACCACCTGCCAGGCGATGAGCCACTAACGTACTCTGCATCCCCGTTGAGAGCCGCATGCCACACCACCCCGTTTTTGACTCCGCAAGATGTAACATTACACTGTTTGTTTCAGAAACAGTTCCGCGCTCAGTTTTGCTAGCAACACGGTGCCGCCGGTGGCTGCTCACACCTGCCGGCTGAGCAGCGCGGCCAGCTCTGCGTCGCGGCTGCACAGCCGCCCCGCTGCCAGCTGCGCCGCGGTCAAGCCGTGGCGGTCGCGGGTGCAGGCCGCGCCCCGCCTGCACACCGTCCGCCAGGCACATGTCATGTCACGGTCGTGCGGTGCATGTGCGTGCTTGCCGACGCCCTTTCCACCTTTCAAGCATTGGTTGGGAGACCAACAGGGACCAACCAAATGCAGCTGGCTAACTCTGCTACTGCCCGTCGCTTGCCTGAGCAGCAGGCGGGCGACCTCTGGCTGGTCGTACAGCACCGCATACATGAGCGGGGTGCGGCGCATCACATCCACCGCGTCGATGTGGGCCCCCGCCTGCAGCAGCAGCTCAGCCATGACGGGCGGCCCCGCCTGCACAGCCGGGGCAGGTGGGCGAGTGGGGCGTGGGGACACCCGCAGTGGAGACGGCAGTGGCGAGAGCAACAGGTTGGTGGGTGGAAGCCAGGCGCGCGGTGGCGCTGCCCCGAAGCCGCACCTCAAGAGGGCCACCGCAGCACGGGCCGCCGCACCCAGCCCCTCGCCCTCCCCACCCGCCTGCCGCCCACCGTGCAGGCCGCGTGCAGGACCCCCGTGTGGCCAAGGTTGGTGGGGCTCAGCGGCTGGTCCGCGTCGCCTCCCGCCTGCATGTTGCACTCCCACACCAGCCGTGCCGCGGGCTGGGCGTGGTAGGAGTGGTTGACGTCGGCGCCGCAGGCGATGGCGTGGTAGGCTGCACAGGTGGCAGCCGGGGGCAGCCGGGGGCAGCCGGGGGTGGAGGGGTCGAGCACGGGCATGGGTGCATGCGTGCATCGCAGGCCGGGCTTCTCTGAAGAAACACTCTCCAGGCGCACGGCCCTGCAAGCCAGCCCCGCTCACCCGATTTGACATCGCCCCGCTGCACCGCATCCCACAGCCACTCCTGCAGCCGCTCCTCGCCCACGGCCCCGGGTGGCCGCGCCAGCAGCCGCTTGTCCACATACTTGCCACCAATCCACCGCTCCTTGTCCGGCAGCGGCGCCCCCGGCCCTGGCCGGCTGCTGCTGCTGCTGCTGCTGCCGCCGGGGCCGGCCTCTGCGGCAGCAGCGCGGGGCGTACGCACCAGGCGCAGCAATGAGCACATGTTGTGGGCGGGTGGGGGGGCGAGGCGGTGCCGGGAGCTCAGCAGGCACTGCCTGAGCTGGTGCAGCCGCTGCCACCCCACTCGCCTAGGGAGGAGCGGCGCCGCGCTGCATCGCGGATCGCCATATCATCTTCGCTGTCGTCTGAGTCGGCACTCCACGGATTGAGCTGCAGGCGGCAGCCAATCAGCACCGGGGCGGTCGATCAGATGGCAGCGGCCCTTGCCCTCCAAAAGCCCAAGCTGCAGCAGCGGTCAGCCGCTGATCTTGCTCCTGCCAGATGCCAGCCAGCCGACACCCCCAGCCGGCAAACATGCAGCCTTGTGCGGCAGCCTGCCAGCCCGGCAGCGCGCCCCACCTTGCCGCTGGTGGCCGGGCCGCCGCCGCCGCCGCCGCCGCCGGGCGCGGCGCCGCCCTCCCACACCCGGTTTGCAAACTCGTTGCCTATGTGCTGGAAGAGGCCCACCACAGCGGGCTCCCACACCTTGGTGTCCAGGGTGCAGGAGCGGACCTGCTGACGTGGCATGCACAGCACAACACAGCACAGCATGATGCAGCAACGTCAGAGCAGCGTCGCAGGAACATCACTTGCACCAGGCATGTCTTGCGCCAACTCAAGCTGAAGCCGTAGCTCCGGAGATTAAAACAGGCGCAAGGAAGGCCCGCCGCACCTTGCTGATGTGCACTCCCAGCCTGCGGTGCACACCGCTGCAGACAAGAGGGCGGAGCAGGGGCCAGCTGTCGGGAGGGGGCATCACCACCCCCATCTCAACAGCATGCCTGCCAGCAGCCGCACGCACCTGCACTCGATGCACACGAGCACCCCCAGGTTGAGGCTGGCCCAGTCGGGGTTTGGCGCGCCGCAGTCGCAGCAGGCCGTGTTGCCGGGCACCCGCTGCAACGCCTCCAGCACGCTGCCGCTGGCGCTGGCGCTGGCGGCGGGCCGCGGGCCGGGCGATGCCGCCACGCCCGCCGCGGCCGCGCTTCCTCCAGCCGCCGCCGAGCCTAGCTGCCTGGCTGCAGCAGCCAGGAGGCCCGAGGCCCCGGACGCCAGCCCCGGTGCAGGCTTGGAGGGGGAGCCGTGCTCACTAATGGCCGGCATGCTGGCAGCGGGTGTGTGCTCGCTGTCGACCGTCAGCCGCTGGCTGGCCGACAGCGACATGGCGCCGCTGCCCAGGGGCGCGTCCCCCAGGTTGAGAGCGTTGATCTCAGCGCTGATGCTGCACCAGCAGGCAGGCAGGTAGGCGGGAAGGGAGGCGCGCGGGCAAGCAGGGGCAAAGGCAGAGGCGAGCACGGTAAGGAGCCTGGCATTCGTCCAGAGCAGCAGCAGCCTTGGAGCAGCTTTCATGAGAGCAGGCAGCCTGGGCGATTTCCGCCCCCTGCCACACTGCCACACAGTGCCGGCAGCAGGCTACTCACGTGCGCGAGTGGGTGGGCCGGACAGGGCGTGTGGGGATGTTGTCGTGGTCTACGGCGCCGCTCAGCATGCAGGCAATGACGCCCTGCATCACGTGGGGCCCGCCAGCTCCCGCTCACAAGCAGCCACCCAACCAACGATGGGAGCGTCCAGCCCTTCATGCACGTTCCCAACTGCCTCGCGCAAGCCGCCGACAACAGTGTGCAGCCAGCCAGCCGGTTGCCAACTGATGCTCTCCTCCCTGCCCACCTGCAGCATCTGCATCCACTCCTGCTGTTCCACCTCATTCTCCGCCTGCAGCATGTACTCCTTCTCGGGGCTGACCACGCGGAAGGCGTAGCGCAGGCTGGGGTCCTGCAAAGGCGGCGGTGGCGGCGCCAGGTCAGCAACAGGCGCCACGTCAGCAACGAGCTCTGGTGAGCGATGGACAGCGGAAAGGAAGCCTCTTTCCAGGATGGCCAGTATGCTCGGCCAGGCATGCATGGCATGCACAGGCCCGCCGAGCAACAGATGCAAGGCCGCGGTCTGCTGGGACTGGGCCGCAGCACCTCGGCATCCGGCTTGATGGTGGCGGTGAGCAGCGAGCAGGTGTTGCGCGGCGCCTGCTCCTTGCGGCTGCCCTCCCTGCTGGAGTAATAGTACAGCATGCCCTGGCTATCCAGCACAAAGAAGCGGCGCTTCCAGGCCTTGCGGAAGTCGCTGGTCTGCTTGAGCAGGTAGCCCTGCTGGACAGGCATTGGGGGGGCGGCGAGGGGAGGTGGGGAGACAGCAGGTCAGCACGCGTGTGTGTGGCTCGGCTTGCCAGCGGGCGGCTGGTGAGGTGGCTGGCGGCAGATGGCTGGGCCTGGCGCCGAGCCACGGCTCCCATCTGTGGTGTGCGTGTGATGTATCTGTATCTGTCGGCTCGTCTGCTGTGCTGCACATCACAGGCCAGAGGCAGCCAGCCAGGCCCCCACCCTGCTGCACACGCACCTGCTTCAGCACTGTGATGGTCTGCCCCTTGGTCTCCTGCGTCTGTCGGATGTAGGCCTCCATCTCGCTCGCCAGCTGGGAGGTGCCAGCTGTCATCTGCAGCGCGCCACGTCAGCACACCCGCCCGCCACGTCAGCAACACCGACCACCTGAGCGCCCACAAAGCACCTCAGCAGCACCGCTCCAGGCATGCCAGCTGTGCCAGCCATTTCATGGTTGCCTTAATAGGCCACAGCAACACTCCGCCCCGCCCTGTCCCCCACCTGCAGGGGCCCGATGGGGCGCACCGCCGGCGAGTCCCGGCTGGCCGCCGCCGTCTCACCCACCAGGCTGTCCCGCGCGCTGGCCTCCGCCTTGTGCTGCAGGATCAGCCCCTCCATCTGCGCCTGCTGCACCTCCCCATCCGCCTTGAGCTTCTCAATCAGCTGCAGGCAGGCAGCAGGGAGAAGAGGGAAGAAAGCATTGGGGGGAGCACGGTGAGCAGAGCGGCAGGGCAGGTGCCATCCCGACGCAGCACGGCAGGCGGGACGACGCAGCACGGCAGGCGCGAAGGCATCAAAGTGCACCACGGTACCAGTGTAGCCACAGCCTCCCTTACCTGCAGGGCGTGTTGTAGGTAGGGCTCGATGCCGGAAAAGAGCTGGTAGCCGCGCTCAAAGTAGCGCAAGTGCGCTGCACAGGGAGGCAGGCGGGCGCGGGGGTTGCTGGTCGCGGGGGTTGCCTGCTGCCAAAAACAAGCAGGGACTTGCAACACCGGATCCAGGCCTCATTTTTCATGACGGCACAAGTGCAGCCCAGTCACCCTCACCCACCGTCCACAGCGGTCACCATGCCCTCCAGAAACTCAAACCGCTTCTGGCTCTCCACCTGCTCCAGGGCAACGTGGGTTGGCCCAGCGTGGCAGGGGTTGCGCCATGGGGTGGTCGCAGGTGCACCAGCATGTGTGTGTGGCGCTTGTGCAGAGAGTGGGACAGCGGGCGGCCCCCAGCCCCGCCAGCAGCCCTCCCGTAGAGGTCCCCCGCCCCACCTGAGTGAAGCGGCGGGCCATCTCGAACCGCGCCTCGTCGGCGGCGCCCTTGGCCGCCAGCATGTCGGCAAAGCTCTTGTCGGGGTCGCTGCTCTTGCCCGCCCAGGTGGACAGGTGACCCGCGCTCCTGCAGAGGCCGAGGGACAGGCAGGCCGGTTGGGTGGCCGGCGGCGGCTGATGTGCGGGTGGCGCGGGTCCCCAGAAGCGCAGCAGGCGCGGCACCAGGCCGCTGCAGCCGGCTCTGTATCCGGCGCAGCCCGGCGAGCCACCGTGTCGGCGCCCAGCCGCGGCCTCAGCCGCGGGGAAACCCCGGCCCCCGCCTCGCCTGTGCCCCAGGTGCTTGAGCCGCGCCGCGTCGTACTCGCTGCTGCGCTTGTCCAGCCGCCGCTTGCTGTCCTTCACCTCTGCTGTGACTCTGATGAAGTCATGGTTGAGGCGCTCGCACAGCACCACCTCGGTCTGCGTGCGCAGCAGGTCCTGGAACGACGACAGCTGCAGGTCAGAGCAGGTCAGGGCTGCTCAGGGCAGGGGCAGGCAGGGATGCGCAGGCGGCGTTGGCGTGCGGGAGGCATGGAGGTGGGAGTGAGCCAGCTGTGATTCCATGCCAGATGCGCGCGTGCCTCGCGGAAGGTTGACACAAACTTGAGCAGCGTCGGGCCGCCGATCAGGCTCGACTCCTCATCCGCCTCCCCACAGAAGGCTTGCAGGCTGCAGGCAGGGCAGGGAAGGCGCTGAAGGTGCAGAGGCAGTCACCATGTGGAGCGTGCTGGCGGCTGTCCAACCAACCGACCACCCAACCGCCACCTGCCAACCACCCAGAAATGCCGCTCGCACCTGTCGGCAAATGCTGAGGTGCCCAGGCACGTGGCATCAAGCACCCCGCTGTACTTTTTGGAGGCCTGCAGGCGGGGAGGGGCAAGTGGCTTAGTTTGCAGCAAACAGCCCAGGAACCTGCGTCCGAGGCTGTGGGCGCTGCCATGCTTGATCGAGCGACACGACCGCAGCTCACCTTGGTGAGCTTGGAGGCCCGCTCCTTAAGGCGCTCCAGGTTGCCGTCCAGCTCGTTCACCTTGCTGCGGAACAGCGGGCTGTCCTGCAGGTCTGAGAAGAGCAGGCTGCCGGCGAGCGCGCCCACCGGCGGCGGCGCGGCCGAGCCCATGGCGACCCCTGGCTGTTGGGTGTCTGGATGGCTGGCTAGCAGCACTGCTGCTGAGACTGCGCACGCTGCAAGTGGGGTGCTCGACTCTGCACGGGCAGGGGTGGGAGGCGAGAGCGGTGGGGTGTCGGCGGCAGGCGGATGGGCGGGGGCAGCCTGCTGGCGGGCTAGGCATTGCGCCCCGCCTCTGCATCCTCACCCTGCGCTGTTGGCACGCAAGCGGGGGCGCAGCGGGAGAGATGGACCGTCAAAGGGGGTAGTCGAAGAGGAGGGCCTGGCGGCTTCCTCCAACACTAGACAGTGCACACACTCTGCCTCGCAACGACGCAGCTGCGATGGGCACACCGTGCTTCCCTGCCGTGCTGGAGGCAGGACACTGGCAGTAGTGCTGCAATTGATGGAGTGGGCAGGCCTCCCCGCATCCAAATTGCTTCCGCGATCTGGGGCGCGCGTGGGAACGTGCAGCACCGCCGACTGGACTTGGACAGAGGGGCACAGCCAGAGCCAGACACCGGCATCTGGAGCCTATGGACCTCCCCAGCTTGCATAGCGATGCGCGTGACATCCTGAATCGCCTGTCAGCCTCCAACGAGGGCCAACATGGCCTGCCCGACAAACTAGCCCTGCTAGAACGCAGGCTGGTGCCGTCCTCGCCCGCAGTGTCCCGCGACAATGGCGGCGGATCGATGCTGCTGAACCAGAACAGCGTGCACAGCGTGACGCAGCAGCCCAGGGGCCCATCCCGCCGGGAGGGCACCCCCTGCATTTCGAACACCCAGCTGCAGGGCGTGGGGCGCAGCCTGGACGGCCAGGAAGCCAACAGCGAGCAGCCCAGCAAGCGTCGCAGGGTGCAGGCGGTTGGGGAGGCCGGCAGGGCCGGTTCAAAAGCGGCGGCGCCGCAGGCGGACGGGCGGGGTGTGTCGCCGCCGGCAGCGCAGCAGCGCCCCTCCCTCTCCCCCTTCCTCTCGGAAGGATTGGGCGGCGCAGCCCCCAAGCAGCAGCCCACGCCCACCAGCAGCAAGAAGCAGAAAAACACCATCAGCAGATACTTTCCACAGATCAGCGGCGGCGCCGGCGGCGTGGTCGGCGGCGGCGACCTGGCCACGGCAGCCAAGAAGGGCGCGGGCTCGCCGGGGCTGTCAGACCAGCAGGCCGCGCCGGCAGTGACAGCCCTGATGCAGAACCTGCAGCTGGAGGCGCAGCGCCTGCGGTGAGCCAACCAGGGCCGGGTTGCATTCCGCTGCCGCCAGCTGTTGCACTCTGCTGCACGTGACAGCTGCTGTCCCACCCCGCTCCGCCATGCTGCATGCTGCGCTGCCCGGCATCGCCCAGCGCTGCCTGACGCTGCCTGCACCCTCCTACCGCTGCCGCAGCGAGGACAACCAGCGGCTGGCAGGGGAGCTAGAGCGGGCGCAGGCGGGGCAGGCAGAGCTGAGCGGCAGCATGCAGCGGCTGGAGGCGGAGGCGGCAGAGGCGCGGCAGGCCAGCAGCAGCCGCGACGGCCACGTGCGCGCCGCGCTGCTGCGGCTGGCCACAGCCAGCGCCCGCCAGGAGCGGGAGATAGTGCACCAGCGGCTGCAGGCCTCGGCGCCGCGCCTGGGATGCCTGGGCGTGCGGCGGCGCGGAATCGACGTGCAGGAGGTGGGTGGCGCAGTGTCTGGATGCTTTGGAAGAGCGAACAGGCAGGCTGCCCTTGCCTGCTTGCGTGCTGGGCAGCCGGGCTGCCTCCCTGGCTGGGCATGCACACCGTTGTGAGGCTTTGGCCACCGCCGCTGCGGCGCCGCCGCCTTGGTGCAGGTGTGGGAGGATGGGCAGGCGTTCAAGGATGTGCACGCCAAGCTGCGGGCGCTAGCCGAGCAGCGGGAGAGCATAGAGGCCGCGCGCAAGGCCACCAAGCGGCGCCTGCCGCTGCCCGGCCAGGCGCTGCCGGCGGATCCCGGGGCGGCGGCGGCTGGGGGCGTGCTGCACCCGGATGACTGGGTGGTGCAGGTGGGTGTGCGGCCCTGCTGGCTGGCTGGCTGGCGGCAGGCAGCAGAAGCGGCGGGGCAAACCAGGGGCTACTATGTGCAGCTGTGGACGATGCGGGCCTCTCCATCTGGTCCCCGTTGCACCTCTACATGCCTATCACTCGTCTTCTCTCGCTATCCCTCGCCGCCTCTCCCTGCCTCCCTGCCTCCCACCTGCTGCTGTTCCACCTGACGTTAAACGTTGCGCTGGGCAAGTTGCACTGCTGTGTCTGCTGACGCATGAGCGACGCATCCCGGCTGCCGCAGGAGGAGATCTTCAAGGCGCGGCTGGCGGCGTTGAAGCGGGAGGAGGAGCTGCTTCGTGGCGAGCTGGCACGCCTGGAGGCAGAGAAGGTGGCGCACATACGGTGAGGGGCAGGGTAACGATGGGGTGGGACCCAGGAGAGGGCCGTTTGGCTTGGTTTGGTTGCCACCACTGCTGCCGCTGCCGGCAGCTGCCGCGCGGGTTGCTGCCCCGCCGCCTCCATGCCGGCCTCCCCACGCCTGCCCACGCTGGCGCATGCCCTCTTTCTCCCTCTCTGCCCCGCCGCCAGGGAGCTGAAGAGGGCCAAGGACGAGGAGGGCAGCCGCTTTGCGGGCTTCCCCGTGCTGCACAACCGCTACCTGCTCATGAACCTGCTGGGGCGCGGCGGCTTCTCGGAGGTTTACAAGGTGGGCGGTACAGCAGTGCCTTGCTTGTACCGCAGTGATGCAGCTGCACAGGCATCAGGCCCATGCATCCTGCTACCGCATCTCAGCGCTCGTCACAGCGTCTCATCAGAGGTCCTTACAGTAGTAGCAGTGACTGGTACAGTGGACATTGCCTGCCCATGCTGCCCCCCATGAGGCCTCATTGGCGCCCCCTTCCTTTCTTTGCTGCAGGCCTTTGACTTGGTGGGCCTGCAGGAGGTGGCCTGCAAGATCCACCAGCTCAACTGCCAGGCAAGCTCCGCGCCCTGCCTGCCCGCCGCCTGCCTCCCACGCGCCCCGCCTCCTGGAGACACTCCACCACCACCGCCGCCGCCACCCTGTCCCATCCTGCCGTGTTGCCACCCCACTCATCACCCCCCCAACCCCCCACACACAAACACACTCTGCAGTGGACAGAGATGCGCAAGGCCAGCTACGTGAAGCACTCGGTGCGGGAGTACCATATACAGAAAGGGCTGAAGCACCCCAGGTGGGGGCGGGGGCAGTGGGCATAGGGCACGCACCGCTGGGTGTGTGCTGGGTGTGGTGGTGGCGCGCCCGCGCACCCGCCGGGTGGCAAGTACGCGCTCGGGCCTCCTTGCCGCTGACCCGTCCTTCCATTCTGCTCAGGCTCCCACCCATCTGCTGTGCCTGCCCTGCCCACCCTACCCGCCTGCCTGCCACAGGATTGCCTCTCTGCTGGACATCTTCGAGATAGACAACAACACCTTTGCCACGGTGCTGGAGCTGGTGCAGGGCGGCGACCTGGACGCTTACTGCAAGCTGCACGAGGCACGTGCCGCTGGCGCCGGCGCTGGACTGGTGCAGGCTGGCGCAGGCTGGCGCCCCACGCCTGCGCTGCGCTGGAGCCTGCTCCATGTGCTGCGCCGGCTGTGCCGCGGCGGCCATGCTCGGCCTGCTGCCTCCTGCCTGCTGCCCTGGACCCGCCTCACCGCCTCTTGCGCCTGCCAGCCTCATTCGATCCCTCCCTGCCTAACCCTCCTACTTCCCACCCCTTCCCGTCCTCCCGCAGACGCTGCCCGAGCGGGAGGCCAAGACGATTGTGGCCCAGATCCTGTCTGGCCTGGTCTACCTCAACACCAAGCCCCGCTCCATCATCCACTACGACCTCAAGCCCGCCAACATTCTGTTCGACCGCAACGGGGAGTGCAAGATCACGGTGAGGCTGGGGCAGCCCGGGCCGCTGCGGTCGCAGCGGCGGCGTGCTGGCTGGAGGGCCTGCTGCTCTGCTGGTGTTGGGGGGCAGGCTTGTGGCGCATGCATGCGTGCTGGCTGGGGCGGTGACGGGCTCGCTCGCATGCTTACAGCCTGGGTTTCGTGGCAGGGCAAGCTCTGTCCTGCACTTGCTGCTGTGCCCGCTAAGCTTCCCGCGTCCCCTCCCCGCACCCCGCCCTCCGCCTCCCGCCCCACCCCGCTCCCTCCCTCCCTCCTCCCTGCCTCCCGCAGGACTTTGGCCTGAGCAAGGTGGTGGACGAGGGGCAGACGCAGGGCATGGAGCTAACGAGCCAGGGGGCGGGCACGTATTGGTACCTGCCGCCAGAGTGCTTTGTGGTGCGCCACGACGCCGCGGCGCCCATGATCAGCAACAAGGTGGGCTCAGGGGTGTAGGGAGGGGAGGACGGCTGTGGGCGGTGGATGGGCGGGTGGAAGGGGAGGGAGGTCGGAGAGGCCAGGGTGCGTCGAGACAGGAGACAGGCGTTCATCACGGCTGCCTGGCGGTGGTGTGGCGGCCGTGGGGGGCTGCCCACCGCCGGCCCTGCCCTGGCTGGCCCCGCCACTTCCCGGCCGCACACGCCACCTTGCCCCGGCCGCCGTGCCCGGGCTAGCGCAGGTGGATGTGTGGAGCGTGGGCGTCATCTTCTACCAGATGCTGTTTGGGCGGCGCCCCTTTGGGCACGAGCAGAGCCAGGAGCAGATCCTGCGCAACGAGGTGATGCTCAACGCGCGTGAGGTGGCCTTCCCCGCCAAGCCCGCCGTCTCGGCAGAGGCCAAGGACTTCATCCGAAGGTGGGCGGGGCCGAAGGGCTGGCTGTGGCTGGCTGGCTGGGAGGCTGGGTGGTTGGCGCTGTGGCTGGCCTGGCTGGCTGGCGGGGAGGGCTGGCCACAGCTGCCAGGGTGGGTCATGAAGTGCATGCGGGCAGGCTGCCAGCTGGCCTCCTGAAGGCGTGGAGCGCACCCTTTCTCACCCCTGCCCCCGCCTCGTTGTACCGCCTGCAGGTGCCTGGCGTACCGCCAGGAGGACCGCATGGATGTGCTGTCGGCGGCGGCCCACCCGTACCTCAGCTTCAAGAAGCCGGGCAAGGCAGCCAAGGAGAACGCGGCAGCGGCGACGGCGGTGGCGACGGCGGCGGCGGCGGCAGCAGCGGCGGCCAGCACTGCGCCCCTCACCTGAGCCAGCCAGCTAGGTGGTGCGCACACGGCCGGGTGAAGGTTTCTGTCCAGCACCTGGGCGGGGCACAACACCTCATGCATGCGGTAGGCAGAATAACGTAGCAGCGGGGCGGAACAGGCACAGCCTGCCCTCCGCCCCATTCTTTACCATTTTTGCAAGCTTGTTCCTACAGTGTTGTGCGCGCTAGCCTGTTTGCATGGGCATGCACATGTGCAGAGGCGCTACAGACGAGAGTGGAGTGGGTTGAACACAGGACTGGGCCAGGCACAAGAGGCAAAGACACTCTGGCGTATGGTAGCTCAAACTGACACACAAACCCGCTAATCTTGGAGGGGACATAAGCAGGGAGGGGTTGCGAGGATGGACATGGCAAGATTGGTTGGCACAAAATGGGAAAGGTCCAAGGGGCTAGAAAATTGGCAGGGTGGTCGGCTGGTGCCGGTGGCGCCGTGATCGACGCGTGTGGTGGCTGCGGCATGGCTGATCAAATCAAGTTGGTTGGCTGCGATGATGGATGGGTTATGGGCTACATAGTGGATGAATGTGAGGAGTAGGTAGGTGTGATTCTGGGACAGGACGTCGGCAAGAGTGGCAGCGCTGTCGCTGCATGAAAGTCGCTACCGTCAGGGGGCCAGGGAGCACGGCCACCTGCCGGAGCAGCTACCCTTGCCCCCCAAGCTGTACTGTTGTGCACTGGCGTAGCCACAACCCTGGCAGGAAGCGAAACCTTGCTGCACAATTGCTGCATCGTTGACTGTCGATCCAGGTTGCGTTGTGGGGCGCTACGGCTGCTGCCGGCGCAGCTAGCAGTGCGCCATTGCCGGCTGCTCCCCCAGCTGGCTCACCATGCTGCAGCAGCAGCGCAGGATGCAACCGAGTGTCATGTCATGAGGGATGGCGTGGGATGGCGCGGCTGAAGGAGCTGCAGCAGCAGGCTTGTGCCCCTCCAGCCCTGTCCTGGACTCAGAACTCCGGAAGCCGAGCAGTCACCCTCTTCAGTGCTTGCTGCATGCCCACACACGCGGCTCTCTGCCTCACCTGCGCAGCTCCTTGATGCCGCCGGCCGACAGCCGGCTCCTGAGCAGCAGCGGCGCCGCGGCGGGGCACTGCAGCAGGAAGCTGTGCAGGGTGGCGGGGCGCAGGCCCAGCAGCTGCATGCGCTCCTCCAGCACGGGCTGCAGCACACACGGCAGGGGTGGCAGCGGGGCCGCGGATTCAGGTTTCAGATGGCAGGAGCAAGCGGGCAAGGCGCTGGACTGGGCGATGCGGCTGGGCAGGGGATGGTGCGCAGGATGGGGCCGCGCTGGGCTGCAAACAGGAGGCGAGGCAAAGGGGGCCGCCCGTGTCTCACCGCGCTGGCCGCGGGCGGCAGCGCCAGCACATCGGGCGTGCTGCGGACCAGGGCCGCCACGTCGGCGTTGCTGAGGCCCAGGGAGCGCAGCAGGCGCAGCCGGTTCTGCGGGGGTGGCCATGGCGGCAATGCAGGGAGCAAGATGGTCGGCAGGGTGCCAGGGGCCACGACGAACCGCTGGCACAGCAAGCGGCCTCGGGGCATGCAAGCCTACTTTGGCTGCCTGCCCGCCTGCCCACGCGCCCCCACCCCACCTGCACAAAGTGCGGGGCCCGCATGAGGCTGGGCAGCAGGCGCTGCACGTCGCCCGGGGGCAGGTGCAGCTCGGAGTGCAGGAAGTGCATGGCCTTGCCCACCTTGTCCAGCCGCCGCTCCTGCACGCAGGCAGGCAGGCAGGCCACCAGGCAGGCAAGAGGCCCGTCAACCACAGGCAACAAGTGGTGGGGCAGCAGGATGCCACACCGTGGCTGCAGGGAAGCATGCAGTCCGGGAGCTGCCGCCGTGGCAGTCAGCGGAGCTGCATGGCGACGGCGTGCCTCGTGGCGCTCGGTGAGGGCGGGCATGGGCATGGATGGTAGGGGGGCCTGCCGGCTGGCTGGCAGGCTGTGCCGCACCTGCACTGCTGCCATCAGCTGCTGGGCATCAACACCGCCGGGGCGTGCAGCCCCTGGCGCCTGCAGCACCAGAGGTGAGAGCGGCGGGTTTCCACGTTTAACGGCTGCGGCGGCACGGCTGGCAGCCGGCACAACGGCGCGCAAGGGCCGTGGCGGCGCGGCGGCGGCAAGGGGCCAGCGCGCACAAGGGCGCCCCTCTGCCCTCCATGGGTTCTCAGATCGCCGCCGGAAGGCCATGAATGACGCTGAGACCCGCTGCCTGCCCACAACCACCCAGATTGTCTCGGCAACTGGTCGTTCGTTGACGCATGTCGGACAGCGCTCATTCGCTCACCTGAGCCAGGCTGGAGGTATAGCGGGCGGAAATAGGGGCCAGGCACGCCATCGCGGGGGCTCCCAGCGGCACCGCCACCTCGAGGAACGCAAAGCTTGCGGCTTTCAGCATCGATACAGTCGAAGCGACGCAAGACGAGGAATGGGATGCAAGAAGAGAACAAGACAACCGAGTTGAGAAACGGCTGGCTGCAAGTTTGCCAGGCTCTCGCATGGCGCCCATGAAATTAGAAAACGCCCCAGGACTTGACGGCGGAGCCCCAGATCGGGCGGCGCCAGCCGTTCAACGAAGGGCGCCCACTTGCCCCTGCTGCCGTCGCCGCCATCCAGGCCTCTGCCTACCGAGGCATGTGGGGACATGGCAATGCAGTTGTGCCATCCCCTCTTTGCTTGCATGGAAAGGGTGTTATATTGCATTGGGCAACTAAACTAATAGCAAATTACAGTGTGCACGGCGCTTTTTGGTACAAACAGCTCAGTAGCAGATGCTCAGGTAGCCAAAACATTATGCAGTGGGACCCAAAGGAACTCAGTGCTCAGTAGGGAGGAAGGCGCAGAAAACCAGATTCAAAGGAAGGAAGCACTGCTTCCTTCATGGCAAGACACATTGGTATTGCTGCCTTACGGTGCCAGCAGAGTGCGCAGAAGAAGAGCGGGAGGCTGGCCCAGTAATCTGTTTGCAAGCAGGGTGGGGGCAGGAACGTGATGGGCGAGAGTGGTAGAAACATGAAAAGAGGGATAGGAGAATTGCGCCAGGAGCAGAGCACCCCGCATCCACCATTCATCCCCGACCCATGGCAGTTGCCGTTGCCGCCCTGCCTATTATACTCGACATGCCGCTACGGTGGCTGGCAGCACCGTGTCGAGGCACATCATGCGGTCTTGACGCAAATGCCTCCCTGGCATTTCAAACCCAAGTACACGCAGCACTCGGCGTCTGCAGTGCAGCCCAGATTCTCCGGAATGCACCTGCACAGCAGATGTGGCCGCATCGGTGAATCATTGTGCCGGGCGTGCATAGGCCAAATTGGGGGCCAGCTGTGCTGAGGAGCTTGCCGCCACCCCAACTCCTGGCAGCACAGCCTGGCCGCGCCAGCAGCCAGGCCTGGGCAGCCAGCCGGCGGCACTCGCTGGCACCAAATCATGCACTCACATGCACCACTTGGGACCAATGCCATCAGATGACATGCACAAGCGCGAGCAGCAGTCGTCATGCTCATTGCAGAAGTCGCCGTTTGGCAAGCAACTGCATGGGGAGGGAGCACACGGGGGTCGGGCGTGAAGCAGCACGTCAGCTGTCCTGCCCAGAGGGAAGCAGGACAGCAGACGCTGTCAGCTGCTCAGCACATGTGCCGCCTGGCCAGGAATGATAGCTGAGCTGAGGAGAGGAGCCTCACCCGCAGAAGCCCTGGTAGCAGACGCGGCAGCTGCGTCACAGGTGCAGCAGAAGGGGAGCAGGTTTCAGGCAAGAGGAGAAAACGCGGGGCTCGTCATGTCAGCGCACGCCGACCTGAAGCACAACCCGCAAGGCACACATAACAGGAGCTGCAGCTGGCACCCTCACCACTCGCTGTCCTCCTCGCAGGGCTCGTCAAACGCACCGCACCTGCACACACAGCGAACGGTGCTGAGCCAGGGCGCGCCGAGCAAGCAAGGTCACCCTCCAGCGGCGGCACAACAGCATGGGCACGACGGGCATGCCTGCTGATCAGGCTGAGGCTGCAGCAACTCACGTCGGTGGTGGGGGAGCAGGGGGGCTGGGGCGGGGTGGCGGGCGCGGGGGTTTCGGGCGAGGCGGCGGGCGTGGTGGCTTCGGTGAAGGAGGCCTAGGCGGTTTCGGCGATGGCGGTTTGGGCGGCTTGGGACGTGGAGGCGGCTTGGGACGTGGAGGAGGAGGTGGGCGTGGTGGTTTGGGCCGTGGCGGCGGACGAGGCGGTCTGGGAGAAGGAGGTTTCAGCGCTGCGGTAACCATCTGAAGTGAGGGGGCGGAAGCAGCGGCAATACTTCAAGCGCGGTAGGATGCTGAAGGCCAGGAGCGCTTGATTGTGGCACACCATATGTGCCGGAAGCAAGTGAGGGCTCTATCCCAGCGCCCAGTGGGGCAGCAGTTTGGACTCTTGATGCCTAGCAACCGTTGCTGCCATGTCCCGCCACCCCGCTCATTAGTGCCGCCATGATCACCTCCCTCCCACCGCGCGCCCTTCAGCGCCCGCCGGCCCGGATTCAGCCTCACCAGGGTGCAGCTGGACCACACCAGCACCAGGCTGGCTCCGTACAGCAGCGCGGACACCCCAGCCCAGGGGCTCCTGCAGCGCGGGGAGAGTCCCATCGCGCCCAGCGATCCGACAACCACCGCAGGGGTCTCCAGCAACGAGAAACAGCTCTGGGAGGATTGAATGGATTGCCACCCCTTGGCTTCTGTGGTCCGCAGTTCCCTCAGCAGCTGACCCAGCTCCATCGCAAGGTTCCATGCCGCGGGCAGGCCTCCACGCTCGCCCCTTGATGAAGAGCCGAAGCAGGAGCACAGGAGCGATCGGGCTGCAGGGCTCCTGCCGTCGCCGCTATATCAGCGGCACCGTCTCCGCTGGAGCGCGGCGGGGTCGGTCAGCCTGGTGTAGGCCTCATTGGCTATCGATGGCCAGAGCCAAGCAGGGGCAACAGTGGCATCAGCGTTTAGCCGCAGGAGCACTGGCCCTGGGTGCTGCCTCTCCCGCCCATCACCGCTCAGTGCCCGGCAGCGCTCCCACCGCGTACCGACAGCTGCTCTACCAGCTTCTCTATTGTTCCTGTAGCAAGTCTGACGGCGCCGCCCTCCACTTCCCAGTTTGGAATGTCATCCCTCCTCGCTCCACGGCCACCTCTGTCCCTGGCATGGCAGACAGCATAGGGCAGTGGGCCAGCGGTGATCAACTGGAAGGCGCCGCTGCGGCGGTTGCGGAGTGGCATCAAAGCTCTGCTGCACAGCATCGTCAGCGAGGGTGGATGGGGTGCATTGGCAGGGTGCGCAGCAGCATGACTGTTTGAGGCAGGCCGGCGCCCAGGACCTCGCCAGACCACAGCCATCAAGTGAAACACTTGATAGGAACGGTTCCTATTGCATAACAGCCTGCGCACACTTTCTCCAAGATTCTCAGCACATTGCAACAATGGTACAACAGGAGAGTACTGTAAGGGTACAGAGACAGTGTAAAAGCAACGGGGGGGAGGCTAGGGGCAGAGGCGGCTGCCCATGTGGCACCTCAGGCAGTCGCCGCCGAGTCCAGGGCGTGCTCGGTGTGGGTGGCCCTGAGGCGCCCCATCAGCCACTCCCCCGCCTGGATGGGCGGGTACTTGGCCGGGTTGTCGGGGCCGCAGCAGGTAGGCACACACTCAATCACCGCATCGTAGTTGGCGTCTGCGGCGGAAGGGAGGCAGCGGGGGCGGCGGTGAGAGGGAGGGGCGGGGTGTGGCTCGCCGGCGCCGGCGTCAGCATGCATGCGCCAACCATGAGCAGCCAAGGTGCCGGGCGTTTGAGGGGATGGGCGGGGTGGCAGCGGCAGCACGCGTGACAGACGGCGCAGGCAGCCCCAGGGGCGGAGGCGTACCGACAAAGAAGGCGGTTGAGTAGCGGTCCTGGCCGTTGTTGAGCACTCGGTGCAGCGTGGACTTGAACAGCCCGTTGGTCCACCGCTCCAGCATGTCTGCGACCACCAGGGGGGTGGTGGCGGGTTGGTGGGATGGCAGCAGGGAAGCGCGCTGTGTGGAAGCAGCGCCAGCGGCTGCGGTGAGTGCAATGGCCCCACCGCGCCAACCTGGCTACCAGGGCTCGGCAGCGGCAGCAGGAGTGCCAAGGCATGGCGTGCCCGCCGCCGCCCGCCCACCTCCGATGTTCATGACGAAGCAGTCGGGGCGGGGCGGCACGTCCACCCACCGCCCGCCCAGGAACAGCTGCAGGCCGGGCTGCTGGTCGGTGAGCAGCAGCGTGATGCAACCAAAGTCGGTGTGGGCGCCGGCGCCGATGTCGCCGGGCGCGTCCTGGGAGCTGCGGGCACGGAGGCGTGATGCGTGTGCCAGGAGGCGGGTGAAGGAGCAGGTTGCCAGGGGAAGGGCGGGATCCGAATCAGTGGCAGGCAGGCTCAGCCATTGCAGGCAGTTTCTTGTTGAAGAGAGCCCACCACAACCACAACCACCACCGCGGCCGCGGTCGCCCCACAGAAACAGCCGGCGCCACTACCACCCTGGCCCACCTGTAGTGCAGCGGGCGCAGCGTGGCCACCGAGTGATCAAACAGCGGCACAAAGTGGTCGGGCGCCAGGCCCAGCGCAGTGGCCAGCGCCGTCAGCACGCGGTCCCCCAGCGCCACCATGGCAGCATGGTACTCCATCATTGCGCTGCGGGCAAGGGGCAGGCAGGGCGAGGGAGGGGTGGGGCGGAGCTGGATGAGGGGCAGGCAGGCACACAGGCAGGCAGGTTGTGCTGCTGGATGGGGCGCCGCTGAGCCCCTGCCCCCACCTGCGGAAGCCGGGGGCCCAGTCCTCTGGTGGCCACACGTTTGGGCCCTGCAACGGCAGGCTGCCAGCTGGCACCTCGCGCCCGATGTAATAGCCCTCCTTGGTATCCGGCTTGCCAGAGGGGTCCAGCGCCTGCTCATGGGCGGGGCTGTACCTGCAGGAGGGGATGGCGGCGAGGCCGGCGGGCCGCAACGGTCGGCAGGCGGAGGCCGGGCAAAGCCTGCGATGCGGCGGATGGTCGGCATGCCCCGCAGCCCCTCACCCGCGGTTGTTGGGGTCCTTGGTGGCCAGCAGGGTCATCTTCTTCTCCAGAGGCAGCTGCGGGAGGGCCGGGGAAGGTGCAGGGAGTGCTTGGGTTGGGCGATGTGCCACCGGCCGCCCAAGCCGTGGCAGCGCGCACACAAGCGCTGGGAGCGCACCTTGAAGAACTGGCGCTGGGCCTCTCTCATGTTGTCCACGACTACTGCGGGCACCCCGTGGCCAGTCAGCACTGCAAACCCCGAAATTTTGCAAGCGTGGAGCAAGTGTTGGGGCGCATCTGCTGCAGACAAGTCCACTAGCGCGGCCATCCTGTTCCCTGGGTGGCAGTTGATGCGGAGCAGTGAGAAGCGAGGAATGGGTGCAGGGCCACAGGCGCCCAGGCGCCCATGCAAGGGTGGGGCCGCCCTGTCGCAGCTGGTCGCAGGGCGCAGGGCATGCGACATGCAAGGGTGGGAGCCCCCGAGGCAATGCTGTTCTCTTTGCCCTTCAGTCCTGACATCACACACGGGATGCACAGAGACCATGCTGGGTCACACATCTCCCAAATGCCCATTTCGGCTTCAGACGCATGTTCGCCCGGCGCCGCCTTCGGCCCGCTGGGTGCATCAAGCAGGCGCCATGAGCGTCAAGCCTGCCGCCAACTCTGATCGAACCCTTTCTTCACTTCTTGCTGCCGTGCACAATTCTGGGGGACTGCAAGGCAAATGTGGCTCGAGACTCTCGTTCCAAACAACCGCTTGCTCGCCCTGCTGCCCCAGCGACCTGCCCTGCGCGCCGTGGAGACGCACAGTGCAGTATGCAGGGCAACCGCAAGCAGCAGCAGCTGTAGCGACGGCGGCAGCGGTGCCAGCGATGACGGCGCCGCCAACCCGCCCTGGGTGTTGGCCAATTATTACACAAAGAAGCTGGAGAGGCGAACAGACTCGCTGGGAAACATCAGCAGCAGCCCAGACACCATTGCCGAGGGCCCCGGGTGGACGCGCGAGGCGCAGCTGCGGCTGGCGGCGCAGGCGCTGGCCGCCGAGCTGCAGCAGGATGCCGCAGTGCTGCTGGACCAGGCACGCCACCCTCCTGCTGCCTGGCGTTGCGACCGCGGCTTTCCAACCCTCCTTGGCTTTGGGTGGCCATCGGCAATCCCAGGCATCCCCTCCCAAGAACCCCACCACATCGCCTCCTTCCCCCTGCGCAGGTGCGGCAGCTGCACGCCCTGCTGCCCGCCATGGAGGTACAGCTGAGCCGCATGAGGCCTGCGGAGCTGGTGCGCCTGGCGGCGCGGCTGGAGCAGATCTCGCAGCTGCTGGTGGCCCTGCGCCTGCGCTTCCCCGCTTCCGACGTCGCGGCCATGGCGGCGGCGCACCCGCCGCTGCTGTCCATGACGCCGGAGCAGCTGCGGGAGGCGGTGGCGGCGGTGCAGCGGGAGTTCCCCGATGCCAGCCAGGTGGGCCCTCAGCACGGCACGTCCCGCTCACCCCACCTCGGCTTGCTGCTGCCGGTGTCCTGCCAGGTGGCAGACATCATTGCTCGACAAATCGACATGGCTGTGATCCAGATCAGGTGTTCAGACGAAGCCTAGCCGTCCCCCGGCGCCTGCCGCAGGAGGACCTCGAGGCCATGCTGGCAACAAACGCCACGCTGCTGGACGCCGCCAACCTGCGCGGCTGCATGGAAGGCGTGGGCCACCTGCTGACGCGGCAGCAGCTCATGTGTGCCCTGCAACACGACGTCGCCTTCCAGGTCTGTGGCTGGCGTGGGGTCGAACCATGACGGGGGGCCGCCGTGCCTCGTCAACAGCCTCGCTGCTCAAGTGCATTCGCCACCGGCATTAAGAGGCTGCCACAAATCATGCCTGCTGGCTGTGCTTATGTCCACATGCCGGCCCTCCTGCCCGCTGGCCTGTCCTGCAGTTCCAGGTGCTGCAAGGGCAGTCTCGTGGCGAACGTGACGCCGAGTATCTGTCCGATATGTACCGCCCCATCTAGCATGCATCGTCCCGTCCTGGCACCGTTCCACGATGGGTAGCACCGGCAGTGCTGGAAGCATATGCGACCTGCCTCATTTCTGCAATGCAATGGGCTTCTGCCTTGAGCCTGCCAACTCTAGAGCGCTTGTGTGCAATGACGGGCGCAAGGCGGCGGGCGGCAAGGCCATGGGCTGCACTTGGACGCTCTAAAGCTACAATCGGCTCGTGGTGATCCTCCACAATTCCTGGGGTGCCTTGGCATCCCAAATGCCATGGAGTACAGGATGGGGCACTGCCACGTGGATGGCGGCGCAGAGAGTGTCCTCCCCACGCCTTTGCGCCCTTCCCTGCCATCTGCCGTTTCTTCTGTGCTTGGTACAAGCTTACCGGGCCAGGATGGGGGGTATAGGCGCCAAGCGCTCCAAGAAGAGCAAGAGCAAGCGGTAGGGCGGGCTGGGAGCGTGTGCATATTCACCGCCATGCCTGCCAGGGATCGTGTGTGCACGCGGACGGCGCATGCAGGCGCATGCGGTTTGGCGCCGCCGCCTTGCCCCTGCTCACGGGAGGCCTCCCCACGCTGCAGGCAAACGCTGAAACAGAAGTACAAGGTGCTGCGCAAGGTCAAGGAGCACCACCGCAAGAAGCGGCGGGCGGACAAGAAGCTCGGCATCAAGCCCAAGGAGCCCAAGGATCCGGGCATCCCCAACGCATGGCCCTTCAAGGAGGAGCTGATTGCGCAGCTCAAGGCGCAGAAGGAGCGGGCGGTGGCCAAGGAGCAGATGCTGCGTGAGCAGCGCAAGGCCCAGAGGCAGCAGCAGGTGCGCCGCAGGGGTGCTGGTGGTAGCATGTCTGCCCACATCACGCATGCAGTCCGCACATGGACGGCACATGGACGCCGGCGGCCGCCGCCGCCACTGCCGCCGCCTCGAGGCCTCGAGCGCTCAGGCCGGTCCTTGTGCCTTGGCCCTCCCTGCCCTCCAGGCCGCCATGGAGCAGGACGGTGACGGTCAGCAGCTGGAGGCGCTGCAGCGGCAGGCGGCCAAGCGGGGGCGGGAGTATGAGAAGGAGGCCGCCAAGGCGCCCGCCCCGGGCACCCCCGCCTTCGTGGACTACTCCCGCCGCGCCTTTTACAAGGAGTTTGTCAAGGTGGGCGCCAGCTGCACACCCTCGCTCGCCGGCGCTGCGCCAAGTGTACCGCAGCAGGCGCAGGCAGCCCAAGGGCCCGGAGGAGCAGGGTCCAGGCAAGGCTCGATCGCCGATCGTCGTCGCTGACACATACACCTGCTGCCCCGCACCCTGCTTTGCTTTGTTTTAATACGCAGGTGGTGGAGGCCAGCGATGTGCTGATCGAGGTGCTGGATGCGCGCGACCCGCTGGGCTGCCGCTGCCTGGATGTGGAGCGCTTTGTGCGCAAGCTGGATCCCTCCAAAAAGATTGTGCTGCTGCTGAACAAGATCGGTGCGCACCCGCGCCTGCTGTGCCTGCTGTGGCTGCTGCACCTGCTGCGCCTGCCATGGCTGTGGTCGTGGCGGCGCTGGCCTGCAGCTGCTGCGCTGGGGCCCCCAGATGGAGCAGACTGGGCAGGGGCCACAGCCCCGTCGCTGCTGCCGCCGCCATGCTTGCCGCCGGTTGGGAGGTGTGGCCTGAGGCGCGGACTGGCTGAGGTGCTGCTGCTCCTGCCTCTGCGCCCGCCGTCCCGTGCAGACCTGGTGCCGCGCGAGGTGGTGGAGCAGTGGATCAAATACTTCCGAGAGGAGCTGCCCTCGGTGGCGTTCAAGTGTAGCACGCAGAAGCAGGTGCAGCCGTGGGTGGGGCCGCCGGGTTGGCTGCTTGGCTGGTTGCTGGAACAGCGGCCGGCGGCGGCCGCAGCGAGGCGGCAGACGTGCCCGGCAGCTGCCTGCCGTGCAGGGCTGTAGCAAGGCCTTGGCTCCTCTGGCTGCCAGGCCCGGCCGCTGCCGCCGCCGCGCCCCTGCCTGCCTCCTCCCCGACCTCCGACCTTCCCCCAGACCAGCCCACTCCCGCTCCCTCCGCTCCCGCCCGCCCGCAGGCGGCCAACCTGGGGCGGCGCCAGCTGGCGGCGCCCGTCGACGCGGCGGTGCGCGGCAGCGAGTGCCTGGGCGCCGACGCGCTGCTGCAGCTGCTCAAGAACTACGCGCGCAGCGCCGACATCAAGCGGGCGATCACGGTGGGGGTGGTGGGGCTGCCCAACGTCGGCAAGTCGAGCGTGATCAACTCGCTCAAGCGCACGCGCGTGGCGCAGGTGGGTGGGTGGCGGCGCGGGTGGCTGGCGGCCATGGGGGCAGGGTCATGGGGTGCGTCTCCTGCTCGCCCATGACCGCATGGGGGGGCTAGCTGCGTGTGAACTGTGAACTGGCGAGCTGCAGTGCCGGCCGCTGCTGGGCCTGCGTTTACCCCTGCTCCTCACTCTGCGCTGCGCCACCCCCACGCTCCGCTGCCGCAGGTGGCAACACGCCGGGCGTGACCAAGGCGGTGCAGGAGGTGCACCTGGACAAGCAGGTCACGCTGCTGGACTCGCCGGGCGTGGTGTTTGCGCACGCGGGCGCCCAGGGCACGGCGGTGGCGGCGCTGCGCAACGCGGTCAAGGCGGAGCAGCTGGAGGACCCCACGCTGCCGGTGGGTGGCGGGCTGGTTGTGTTGTGGTGGTGGTGGTGGTTGGGGAGGTGCGGTGCTGGTGACTGGGTGCGCATGGCGGCGGTGGGTGTGGAGATAGTGGCTGTGTGGCTGCTTTGCGCCTTTGCTCTTGGGGTATGTATGGCAGCAGGGGTGTGGCCCGCGCCCATGCCGGCTCACACACCGCCGCCCCATGCGGCCCCCTGGACGCCTGGCAGGTTGAGGAGATTGTGCGGCGCTGCCCCGCCAAGCAGCTGATGACGGTGTACAAGGTGGCGGCGTATGAGGGGGCAGACCAGTTCCTGCAGCTGGTGGCGCAGGTGGGTGGGCCGCCCTCCTGTGCTGCTGCACGCCTCCATCATGCTTGGCACTGTTGTTGTTTCTGTGTGCGTGCTTTGTTGGTTTGAAATGTGCTGCCTGCCAGCGCATGCCCCTCGCTTTGCCAGCTGCCGGAGCTTGAGTGCGTTGCCTGCCCGCCTGCCTGCCTTCGCACAGGCGCGCGGCAAGCTGAAGAAGGGCGGCGCGGTGGACGTGGCGGCGGCGGCGCGCATCGTGCTGCAGGCGAGCCGCGGCAGCCTGCGCCGCATGGCTGATGCGTGCCCCTGCAGCGCTGCGGGCCCTCCCACCCTGCACCCCGCCAGCAAGCTCTTGCAGCTGCTTCCAGCTTTCGTTGCGCCGTGCTCACCCCTACCCTGCCCTTCCCCTGCCTGCGCTGCCCCCTTGCCCCTGCAGGACTGGAACGACGGCCGCATCCCGTACTTCACGGTACCGCCGCAGCGGGACAGCGAGGTGGCGGGCTCGGCGCGGGTGGTGGCGGCCTGGGGCTCCGAGTTCGATGTGGACCAGAGCGCGGCGCTCGCAGGCCTACGCGGCATGGAGGAGGGCGGCGGCGGCGGTGGCGCTTTCTTCCAGACCGACACGCTGGGCACGGCGTGCATCGATCTGGAGGGCCTGAAGCTGGCTGAGGAGGAGGAGGGCGGCAGCGGCAGCGAAGATGATGATGATGATGATGATGAGGAGGAGGAGGAGGATGGGGCAGGTGGGCTTGTGCCGCATGCACACCTGTTGTGGAGAGCTGTGCGGGGCCTCGGTATGCTCCTGTGCCGCGTGGTCCCTGCAACAGCAAGCAGACGCGCGTTCTGATGACGCACGTGCGTCTGCTCCTTCCCCCTGTGCCTGAACAGAAGGCATGAGCGGCAGTGACGGCGAGGAGGAGGCGCGCGGGCCGCCCGGCGGCGAAGCCATGGACGAGGCGGAGGCGGCGCCGTCGGCCAAGCGGCAGCGCGGCGCGGCGTCGGCCGCACAGAACGTGCAGCTGTTTGCCGAGGCGGGCCAGTTCAACCCGCACGCGGCGCGCGCGGAGCGCAGGCAGCGGAAGAAGGGCAAGCTGATGCGGCAGGCCGGGGGCGAAGACGGCGGCGGCGGCGGCGCGGCGGCAGATGAGGAGTATGATTTCGAGGCGGACTGGCAGGCGGAGGCGGGCGGCGGCAGGAGCAACCCCTTTGCGCAGCTAGGCAGCGGCAGCGAGGGCGAGGGCGACGAGTGAGGAGGCCTGCGACTTGTGCCTGGCCGGATCCCACCGCTTGCCTCCGTGCACAAGTACTGGTTGTAAATGGCTGTGAGCTATCAAGCACGGGGCGGGGTCCTTTGGGCATGTGTCGGATGAGAAGGGAAAGCAGGAGGTCAAGATGACAGCAGGCTTCCTTGCAATGTGCCACCCCGCCGGCTTCCTTGCATCACGGCAGCGCTGTCGACTTCTTGCAGGCACATGTGGTTGCTTCATGTGCCGCCCGTGGCTCTTCCCGGCAGCATTCGCCCATCGATATACTCATCCAGGGCCCCGGGTTCGGGCTGCCTGGGCAAGCGGTTGGAGCGCGGCAAACACATCACCTTGCCAGCTTCAGTTTTCGGCCAGGCTCTCGCATCACGGTGGCCTATACGTTGCGTTGTGAACTCCAGAGGGGCGCCAGGTGCGTGGGAGGCGCACCGCGTCAGTGAGAGTCAGCCGCCACACACGTTTTTTGCTGCCCGCCTTCTGCGGCCAGCTTGCGGGTTGAACGGGATAGAAGTTGCGCATGAAGAGGCGCCTGGGGTTCCGGCATGGCAGCGCCCCGCAGGGGGTCGTAGAGGGGCGGCAGCGGCGGCGCGGGCGGGCGTGTCTTATCCCTTGCCAGGCATTTAATGAAGATCTGAAAAGCAATGCGCCTGTTGCAGCTGGGATACAGCATGGATACATGCCACAGAGGCCATGCTGTATTGTGCCGCCAACAGGGCACCCCCCGGGTTGACCCTCCCTGTCCGCAGGCGGTGCCGGTGACGCCTCGGCGATGAATTGATGCCCACCACCAGAAACCTCACCTTAGCGTAGAGCAGCAGCGGCAGCATCAGCAGCGGCAGGTTACCATGGCAGAGGAAGTGTGCGAGCGGCTGCAATTCCGCCTCGAGGTGCAGACCGCATCAGAGGTGACCCGCCTGGCGGTGTGCGGCAACTTCCAGGGCTGGCAGCTCTCCACCGCCAATGACCTCAAGTACACAGAGGCCTCAGGTGACCTCCCACGGCCCGCCCCGCCACCCGACAGGGCTGCCGCAGCCTGCATGCCGGTTGGCAGCAGCTGGCGCGGCGCCGCCAACCCGCATGCATGCGTGCGTGCGTGCCGAGCGCCGCCCTGTCACGCAGCTCTGTGCAGGCAACGTGGAGGGCGGCACCACCTGGCGCAGCGACCTGCTCGCCATCCCGGCCAACAAGATGCCGCTGCGGTTCAAGTTTGTGGCCAACGGCCACCGCTCCTCCCCCAACACGCGCCCGCTCATCTGGGACTCGCAGAGCCGCGTGTACCACCGCATCCCGCCCGACGGCGTGCTGCGCTGCGAGTTTGAGCCCACCCCCGACAGCAGCGACACGGGGTGAGGCCGGCGGCCCCCCTTGTGCTGCTCTTTTTTTTGCTTTCGTTTCGTGCCCATGGCAGCCTGGTCCCCCTCCCCACTTCACGCCTGCCTCATCTCACTCGGCTTCCTCTGTGGCTGCTGCCTGTGCTTGCAGGTGGGTGACTGCCGACGGCGTGGGCGCCTACCAGCTGCGCGTGGGCCAGCCACCCGGCAGCGCCGAGGCTCTGGTCAAGCTGGAGCCGCACTTGGGACACCAGCCAGGTGCGCGGGCAGGCGCTGCTGCTGCGTGCTGGTTGGCGGTGCCGCTGCTGGCGGCCCCGCTGGCCTGCGGTGCCTGGCCTCCACACGCCCGGCCGTGTTGCGGGCGACCAGTGGTGCCGCGAGCCTGCGATGCATGCATGCGCCTTGCTGACAGCGCCGGCATGCCTCCTTGGTGCAGATGAGGTGGATGTGGTGCTGGTGGAGGCGAAGCCCAACGACCCTGCGGTACCGCAGGGCAAAGTGCTGGCGCGCGTGGGAGGTGCGCGTGCTGTGCCCTGCCCCGCTGCGCGCCGCCGCGCGCCGTGCTTGCTGCACCTGCCGAGGTCAACCTGGGGGCTTGCCGGGCGGCCCCACTCCACACCCCCTTGCGCTGTGCTTGGCAGCCGAGGCATGATCCCCGCCGGTCGTCACCATTCGCCACACACACCCGCTGCTCCCCGCCCGCAGCGCTGCCCGGCGGCGCGGGCTCAGCGGAGCAGCCGGCCGGGGATGCCGGCAGCTGCACCTACCTGCTCAACTCTCAATCCATCGAGGCGCTGGCCTTCCGTGTGGATGTGACCTCCAAGCGCGACGGCGCGCTGCTCGCCCGCTGCTTCATCTCGCCCGAGACGCTGCAGGTGCGGGCGGGGTGTGTACAGGGGTGCCCGCCTCTCCCGGACGGCTCGCGCCCTTCCTCCCGTCCAGCCCCGTGGTTCTCATGACGATGCCGCGGCGGCATTCAAGCGGTGCACGCGGTGAAGCTGCTTGCAGCGTGTTGACACGTGTCACCATGCGCTGTGCTGTGCTGTGCAGGCGCTGGAGGGCAGCATCCACGCCGCGCTGCTCACACCCGACCTGCGCCACGCGGGCACCTTCCGCGCCTCCTTCCTCGTCGTCGCCGCCCTGCAGCACCCCGCCAACTCCCTGGGCAACCTGCAGCGCAGCCGCTGGGTGCCCGGCGGCGACACGCTGGACATCGGGTGCGCGTCAGCTGCGGGGGGGCTGCTGCCCTGCCCTGCCCTGCCCAGTTGCCCTGCCCAGTTGCGCTGCCCTGTGCGTGTGTGTTTTGCGAGAGGTTCGGTTATCGAACCGCGGGGAACAACAGGGTTGTGCTTGCCCGGACTGAGGGGAGCCAAGCGGACCGCTCACGCCCTGCTCCAACCCACCTCACCTCGCCTCGCCTCGCCTCAGTTTGCCCCCTGCCCCCTCCCCTCCCTCCCCCCGCCCCGACCCGCAGCCACCGCGGCTCCGGCGCCAGCAAGGTGCACGGCCACGCGGTGCGCGAGAACACGCTGCTGTCGTTCCAGAAGGCGGCCACCAACGCCGCCGACTGCGTGGAATTCGACGTGCACGTCACCGCCGACGGCGAGTGCGTCGTCTTCCACGACTTTTTGGTGCCCATCCGGCTGGGCACCGAGGTGGTGCGCCTGCCCATCCCCACGCTGACCTACGACCAGCTGCGCTCCCCAGACTTCACACAGTGGATGGTGTCACCCAAGTGAGCGCGGGAGGGGTGGGCGGGAGCAGGGACGCAAGGGCGGGCGGGGCGGGGGAGCAGGGCCCAGGGCTGCCTGCCTGCCTGCCTGCCTGCCTGCTTTTTCATCAGCGGGGACAGCGCGCCTGGCTGCACCCTCGCCCTGTTTGGCGGATTGTGTTGGTCTGGGGTGCCATGCAAGCGCGGTCGGCCGTGCCGGTGCCATGCATCAATGCTAATGTCAACGCCCGGCTGCTCGCAGCGAGGATGCCACCAACAAGGATGCGCTGGATGAGGAGAAGCAGCGGCGGCGCACCACGCTGCAGCGCAACATGAGCAGCGCGGAGGACATGTTTAGGAGGTGGGCAGGCCATGGTTTAGGAGGTGGCAGCCGATCAAGCACGTACACCCATGCTAGCACCCTCTGAAGCTCCCAGCCGGTGGCCCGATTTACCCCCCCCCTCAGTGCTTCCCCCCTGCCTCACACCTGCCCCCCGCAGCATCTTCAAGCCGCAGTTTGCGGGCCCCGGCCTGTCCCCCGCGCGCAGCACGTCTGGCGACAGCAGCGACGGCGCCAGCAGCGTGGGCAGCGGCGAGGACCCGTCGCAGGCGGTGGCCGCCGCCCGCTGGTTCCTGACAGACCGCATCGCGTCGCTAAGGGAGGCCTTCCGCCGCACTCCCAAGTGGCTGGGCTTCAACATCGAGCTCAAGTACCCCACGGCGCTGGAGGTGGCGGCGATGCGCGCTCACTGGTGGTCCCGCAACCACTTTGTGGACGCAATCCTCAAGGTGAGAGAGAGAGTGCGTGTGTGTGTGCGTGGGTGCATGCGTTTATGTGCCTAGCCGCCCGCTGCGAACCGCTAGTGCTTGCGGGTGCCTGCCAGCGTGCGCGCCTGTTGCCCGCCGCAGTCCACGTGCTCGCCGGCCGCAATGCAAGGCATTGGGGTGTTTGCTTTGCCCCACGCTGCCCCGCCCGTGCGCCGCCGCCTGCCCGCGCGTCGCAGGTGGTGCTGGAGGAGGGTGCCGGCAGGAAGGTCATCTTCTCCACCTTTGACCCCGACTGCGCCACGCTGCTGTCCCTGAAGCAGCCCCGCTTCCCCGTGCTGTTCCTCACCTGCGGCGGCACCAAGGTCTTCACCGACCCGCGCATGAACTCGCTGGAAGCGGCGCTGCAGTTTGCGCTGGCCTCGCAGCTGCAGGTGGGGGGCCGCCTGGGGTCCCCGGGGAGGGTCTGTATGTGAAGGATGCCGGCGGCAGGCGGCGCTGGGCCGCGTGCGGTGCACCAGCAACGGCTGCGGCGTGTGTGTGTTGGGGCAAGGGTGGATCGCTGGGTAGCTTGGCGCCCCCTCCCTCCCCCCCTCTGCTGTGCGGCGTGCGCCGCGCCTCGCCCCCCACCCGACGCCTCCGCGCCTGCTACGGCTGCGCAGGGCGTGGTGGCGGAGGTGACGAGCGTGCTGGGGCGGCTGCAGGAGACGGTGGCTGAGTTCCACCGCCACGGCCTCTTCCTCTACACCTGGGGCGACGCCAACAACGACTACGCCTCCTACATGGCGCAGCGCGAGGCGGGCATCGGTGAGCGACGCGCCGCTGCGCCTTTGCCTGGCTGGGCCGGCTGGGCTGGCGGGCTTGCTGTGGGGCGTCTGAGCTGCGGCCTGGTGGTAGGGTCGGGGTGGTTGGCAGCGGCTGGCGCCTTCAGACGCAGGCCTGCGGGCACAGGCGTGTGGAGCCCGCAGGCACGGCGGAAGGTCCCGGCCTGCGTCGTGCCACGTGTGCCACAGGCGCCGCCCCGACCCGCCCCCTGCGCCTCCCCCCTGCCGCCCCTCGACAGACGCAATCATCTTTGACGATGTGGAGCGCATGGCTCGGCGCACCGACAAGCGCGCCTCCTCCACCCGCACCCTGTTCACCAAGAGCATGAAGTCGCCCGCCTCCACGCAGGCACGCGCAGGGCGGCAGGGGGCCTGCCGCTGCCGGGAGGCACTGCTGCTGGGTGCCATTGCTGTGTGCTGCCGGGCAACAGCTGGAGGGCCACCTTGCAGCGGCCTGGTGCCTGCGCGGCAGCCTGGCGTTGCTGCCAGTGCGATGCTCTCCTGCTCCACTCCTGCCCCCGCTCTGCTCTCCCGCCCTTCCTCGACTAAGCCCATACCTACCTTGTGGCCCGCCCCGGCGCAGGACATGGAGCGTCTGGCCAGCTCCGGCGGCAGCACCCTGCAGGTGGACCTGGAGCGCCTCAGCGGCGGCTTCACCATGCTGGCCATCTCGCCCATCGGCTCCCCCAGCGCCACCGGCCTCATCCCGCTGGCCCCGCCGCCGCCCTCCATCAAGGCGGCCATGGCGGGGGCCGGCCCGGCGGTCACCAACGGCTCCGCCGGCCCGCAGCTGGGCGCCTTCTACGGCCATAGCAACGGCGGCCTCAAGTAGGCGGCCGCAGCTGCTCGGCACCGGCAGCGGCGGCTGGCCCTGCAATATTAGATATTTCTAGACCACCCACCCCCGCCAGCTGCGCACCTCCTTAACTTATGCTTAACTTATCGGCTCCCCCTGCTCAGCCCTTTTGCATTTGGTTGACGCTACCTGCTAGCCATCGCTGCATCCAATCCCATGACATCCTCTCCTCCTCCCCCCCTGACCGCCAAGCGCTGCATCGCCGACCGATACCAGCTAGCCAGGAGCTGCGCTCCCGTGTGCAGTGCGTAGAGCTGCCACCATATGTACGTCTGAGCGTCTCTCTTTCCTCTCTGCGGCAGTATTTGCAGCACTGATCAGCTGCCCCTTCCCTCTGAAGGCTTGCCATGCTGTGGCAGCCATCAATGCTCTGCAACGCTCCTTTTCAGGATTCCAGGCCCGCCGACCTGCCTCCAAATTCTTTTTCAACTGCTGTGATCCCCCGTGCACAACTTCCCTCTCCTCACTGCTGGATGTGACGAGACGAACTGCCGGCCCCCACCTGCTGCACTGGAGCAGCATGTAAATATGGGCACCGTCATTGTTGCATGCTGGCCACAACGCAAGCGCTGGTCAGAATGAAACAGAGGAAAGTTGGAGGCAGGCGATGGGAGGGAAAGGGATGAGCAGGAGAAAAGAGCAACAAAGCAAAAGGGAAATGGTTGATGGGCATGAGACACCGGGGAACAACTGCCAAAGCTAGTACTTGCGCTGCGAGCCGCCAAATAACACCAGCTTCTTCTTGCCGCCCTTGCCGCCGCCGCTGCTGATGTGCAGCCCGCCCAGCTGCTCCGCTGCAGTCCCTGCATCGTGCGTGGCTGTGCCTGAGGTGGCGCCCCACGCTGGGACAGCCGGAGCAGCCGGTTTGGGGGCCCACGCCCCTTTGGGCGCTGTGGGGGCCGGCCCCGGCACTGCTGGGCTGGCGGGCTGGGTGGAAAGCGACGGCCCAGTGGCCGCAAAGCCGTCCCGGGCCAGAGCGGCATAGCTGACGCCCGCCTGAGGCTGCGCAGGCTGCGCGCTCGCTGCCTCATCCCCTGCCCCGCCGGCCTCGCCGGCCGCGGACGCCTCCTCTGCTGCCTCGCGGTCGAGGCTAGCAGGCAGCAGGCTGGCAGAGGGCAGCGGCATGGCCCGCAGCTCGGCAGCAGTCAGGCCCGTGTTGGCAGCGGCCGCCGCCGCGGCCGCCGCGGCTGCGCGCTCCTGCTTCAGGCGCCTGGCCTCCTGCTTGGCACGCTGCGCACGCTTCTTCTCGCGCTGTGCCAGCTCATCGGCAAACGGCACCAGCGCCCCTGGCGGCAGCAGCCCTGTGCACAGACAAGGGAGAGGCGAACCAGCATCGCGATCAGCAAAATTCGACCCTCCAGTGAATGCGCCACCCCCACCAGCTGACAACCCTAGGTGTACAATGACACGGCAGGCCTGAGACCTGAGCCAACGTCTCAAGCCCCGCCTTCCAACTCCTTCCCGCTTTCCTGGCCCAGGCCTGCAGCAGCACGCGAAGCGGGGCCGCCACCCACCGCTCAGGTCGACTTCGCACAGCTGGAAGGTGGCGGTGAGGGGCAGGTGGGCCAGCACGCGCATGCGCCGCCGGCTGGCCTCGTCCTGAGCCACATCCTCCACCTCCAGCACCTGCCAGGCAGAGGGGCACAGGCCCCGGAGAAGAGATGGGCAACCAGCAAGCGTGGGCGAGGGTTGTGGTAAAGCTCAAAGCTGGCACCTGGCGACGGACGGTGCCTGGTTATCAACAGAAATGCATGCACGTCAACGCACACGCAGTGCCAGCTGCCACGATATTCGTGTGCGCTCACCCTCGCAGAGAGGGTGGGCGGGCAGGCGGGGTAGGCGCTGTAGTGGGCCAGCAGCATGCGGAGGTTGAGGGGGCACAGGAAGAGCCACTGGCCGTCTGCGGCAGGGAGCATGCGCGGGATCAGGGAGGTGAGCAGCCACTGGAACCGGGCCTGCGACACGGCTCAGGCATCCTGCCTGCCAGCAGCGAGGAGGACTGGCAGATTTTAATCGCAGACGCCTCTGGATCACGGAAGCATCCTGTGGGCGTGCCTGAGGACTGGTAGAAGAAGAATTCTGAGGCGGAGGCCCCGCCGCCGGCGCCGGCCTCAGCCGGGGAGCTGCCCAGCAGGCCGCTGGTGGACTTGAAGCTGCCGGGAAGCTCCGCCGTACTGCCTGCCGCGGCCGCAGACGCGGCGGGAGACACGCCGCCGCTGCCGGGCGCAGTCCCGGCGCCAGGCTGGCCGCCGCTGGCTGCGCTAATGGGCATGGCGGCGGTCCGGGGCTGGCGCCGCGCGCTGCCAGGGGGTGGTGAGCCTTCAGCCTCATCGTCGCTGAAAGCAGCCTGAAGCGCAGCCACCGACCCCGCCGGTGCAGGCGCCGCGGCAGGCCTTGGGCGCACCGGCGGCGGGGCAGGGGCGTGGGCGCGGTGGGGCGCGGAGGGCGGCGGCCCGGCCGCCAGCGAGGGGAACAGGCGGTCGCGGGCGGCGGCCGCAGCCTGCCGCTCGCGCCGCGCGGCGGCGGCGCTCAGCGCGGCGGTGGTGGCGCCCCTGACGGCGTGCGCCGCCTGCTGGCCCGCCTCCTCTGGACTGAGCAGCGAGTCCTGCAGGCAGAGCGTGTGGGGTGGCTGCTGTTCTCCTGTGCGCTGGCACGCCTGCAGGCATCACCTGCTGCTTCCCAGAGGTGTGCGCACGCTCACACACACACACACACACACATGGGCACACACACACACACACGCACACATCTGTTGCCACACACACAACTCCCGTCAGACGCACACACATGAATCCCGCCCCAGACACACACTGCCCCACACCCCCACACCCCACACCCCACACACACACCTGCACCATGGGATCCGCCGCCTCCAGCAGCGTGCGCTGGCGGCGCTCCGCGGCGGCGCGCGCGCGCGCAGCCAGCGCATCAATGGCCGAGTAAATGTTGGGCGCCTCGTAGGCCGCCTCTGCGCCGCCCTCCGCGGTCACCTGGCGCGACACAAGAGGCAGGGCAGGCAGCAGCCACCAGTTGACAGGACGGTACCGCGAGGAGGGGCGGCAGGTGCAGCAGGGGCAGCAGAAGAAGCAGGGCGCG